TTCTTTTAGTATTGATCTTTCTACATTCTCTTCAATGTAAGGGGGAAGTTCTTGAGTGTGATCTTTTCCATCATTTCTGACGTGGCGTTGCAACTTGGACTTTCTAGGGTTTTGGGAGGTTCTTGAAGTGTTGTGAACCATCCGATCCTTGGACTAAAGTCGAACCTTCATCTTAGGGAATGTAGAGGATTTGATCTTCACTCCGTCCTTATCATCACATAACTTCAAGAGACAAAAAGAATTTGTCCCCTCGAGTAGAATATTGATTTGTTAGCTAGGGCACTTTTCATGATAACTTAGTAATTAATTGTTAATAGCAGCTTGCTTAAGCGAAGAAACTCTCTTCCCATGTGAAAATGGTACCATCATACAACATTGTGAAAGATTATTGCATATAATTAGTTTCTTTAGCCATTTAATGATCCTATCGATCTATGCATGTCACGAAAGTTTAGTCGTATTGCGGGCTTTTACTAATTATATGCGTCAATCTAGCACGTGATGTAGTAACATATAGTACCGGACGTTGCTGATCACACTAAAGGTCGTATTTTTCTTTCACTCATTCAACTCGTTTTATCAAACGAGACTAGAAAATTATGAAATTAACTCTCGGTGCACCAAAATCAACTGGAGGACTTTCTGGGCATTCGCATTCTTTAGCCTCTGCTAATATCTTTTGGATACTCGAGAATGTTGAGGACTTCTAATCATGTGGTTTTGGCCGCAACAAATAATTAACGCGTGCAGCTTTGCTGCCTAACTTGCTATTTTGTGACATTTAGTTATATTAGACAGAGCACGTTTGCCATTACTTTACGACGAGTTAAAAAAAGACAGGACAAAAAGAGTCAGATTAGGCACTGAACATTGATAAATTAGAGCTTGGTTTTTTCCACTCCATTGCATTGAGAAAAAAAATTATTAAAAATATTAATGAGGGGGAAAATAATAATTTTTTTTCTTGATCCAGCAGCTTTATTTGAAACTTGAAAGAGAGACACATCTGATGTTTCAAACTGATTCTTACTGTATGTGAAGCTTGACATTAGCTTATATTCTACAGGAACTTTGTTATCTTGCATCAAATGTAATGTTTAAGGTTCTGTTGTTACATAAAACGTCTACACTTAAGAGAAGGTTCTTAGACAAAATGATTTTTTTTCTTTTTTTCTGAAAATTCAATTTACAGATAAAAGTTACATAATCATGGCCCATTGCTGATGAAGGAACGATTAAAATCTGTTTAGAGCAATACGGTTTCACTGATGATTGTTGCTACTACTGACATGAGCGGTGGCTGAGTGTCAAAAAGATGACATTAGTCTAAACTCCATTTATTTCGCGAAAAATAAATAATTTATAAATTATTTCTTAAAAATAATTACTTGTATTTTTTTAAATATTAAAAAAAATGTACATGTTACCTTTTGTTTAATGAGGGTGTTAAGTAAGGATTTTTATTAAGTTCGCTGATATTATAAAAAGGTTTTTACAACTATTGTGGGATGGTTTGCATGCGTAATTGGATTTAGTTTCGGAAGTGGATTCTCTACGTGTCGGGAAAGTTACCAAAAAAATCATAAATCGATCGCACATATGTCAATTTAGTCCTAAACCTTTCAATTTGACCAATTTAGTCTTAAACCTTTTGAGAAGTTTGCAAATGCAGTTGTTCCTGCCAATTCCCACCGTGCCATATAGGATGACTAGTGTCCACGTGACCGAATTTTACATTTGTAAATTGTGAAAAGGTTTATAACTCAATTTGTCAAATTGAAAGATTTATGACTAAATTGGCATATGTACAATAGGTTTATGACTTTTTCGGTAATAATCCCCTAAGTGTCAACCGGTCTAATTAATGATGATCGATTAAACTATTTCTTACATGTCTATGGACGTAAAAATTTCCGTTGAATAATAATAGTTCTAGATTGTAGGCGTTTGGGTGGCTTTAAGCCATACATAGCCACATTTGAATTTCTTGCCAAACAAAACAATACTTTAGTTTATAATAACTAAAAACAATATGGTGTGACTTATTTAAAAATACATTTTTGTATAATCTTAAAGTATTTGATGTACTAGATGGAAGTCCTTTATCAAACTCTAAAAATTAGGTAAAGTCAAAAGCTAAAAGCAAAAATCAGACCAAACATCAGCTTAACTTTCGAGAAAACGATTTCTAGTCCGATATCGCATCATCTAAGGGTAAATCATATCACTCTTGCATTTCATTGTATTTTTTCCTCCGTCTCGACATGTAATCTAATTTTAACTCCAGTAATAAATGTGATGTTATTCTGCTCTCGTCCAACATGCGGCGCAACTTATAAGCGAGGGTATCTACTGAAAAAAATAAGCTTGATATACATTGTGGCCTCGTCGGATGTCATTTTCATGGAAAATGAAGGAATAGGATGATGGTAAGCACTGTTTAGAACTTGCTAAGGTATGAAATCCAATGCATGATTTTTTCTAATAACTTAAACTTTGAGATTGAAAAATCTCTTCGACATGGTATTAGACTTGAGGACCGAGTGCATTTCCTCATCTTTCGACGAATTACTTAATATCCACTTTCAATTATTCAATTTGGTTCAATTTTACTTATATTTCCAACCAAACCAAACTTATGAATTTAGGAAAGCATCAACCCAAACTCGACCTTTGTGTCTCTTGGTTTCAAACTGTTCATGTTAATCCCATGCCAAAATCAGAAAGCTCAACGTCCATGCTATACCATGAAATGGTAATCTCCACAGCATACACGAATGCCATTAAATCAAACTTAATATTTGGCAGAAGAAATTTAATGATACATCTCTCTATATTGTAAAATAAACTCGAAAATAATTTCAATCGCACATTTTCCCCAATAAATCCCTTGAAAGCCAACGCATAAGGTGATTTCTTAAATCTCTTACACTTTTCAAACTTAGATGTATCTTTTCTCATGGAACTTAAGTTTTGTTTTCTAATAAAAGATTTCCCCTTGTTTCTCCTTAAAATATTTCTACACAAAACGCATAAGCTGTTTTTTGTCTAGTGATATGGAAGAGATGCAATTCTAATGTCCTAGAGACCTAAAATCATGGAGGACTTGAGGAAATAAACTTGGAAGACATAAAAAGAATACATTCTGCTGGCGACTATTTTCTTTGCCTGAAGATCCAGCGTAGCATCAAAATATTTTACACCCGTGATTAAATTTTTTTAAAACTACGGCAATCGGGTAATCGATTACAAAGCTACAGTACTCAAGCGAGCACCGTACGACGAAAGTCGTGGCATTTGCGATGCCGCCCTCCTCCTATCGGCTTCAAATGTTTCGATTATTGGCTTTTGGGTTTCCGACGAGGGCCTCTAAACCTAACAATCTGCATGAATCTTCAGTCAAACCTGTATATTCTTCTGGGCAATGGCGTGAGCGATCAGTCCTTGGGCTCTTCCCCTTAGCGATTGCTTCATAAATAAATAAAATAAATAAAATAATATATGAATATGAAAGTGCTTGCTGTAAATAAGCTGGTGAACACTAATGAACACTTCACGTTGGGCTGTTAAAAAAAATAAAATAGAGACAAAAAATGTTTTTAGGTGGGTCAAATTTCGACGGCAACCCAAGTGCCAGTGCACGTGCTTTCTTCAAGTTGCGCCTCCCACGAGGTCCAATTGCAGAGGGCGGTGGTACTATTTTATTTATTTTATTAAAAAGGAATAATCGAAAAAATTACAGGAAAAATAAAAAATAAAAAATAAAAATAAAAATACGAAAGATTCCAAAACCAGTATTATCAGCTCACACGAGCGGTCTCGAGACTAGTAAAGTATGCTGTATATATGAACTGAAGGCACTATATTCTTTTCTTTTCTTTTCTTTTTTAATTTTTGAATTCTCGGTGTTGATTCTTCAATTTGAACGGGGAAAGAAAGAAAAAAACAAAAAACCCAATTGCTAGTTTATAGTTTACAAGCCGACCCAACTTGCCGCTTTGTTGAGTTTGATTTTGGGCTTGGTTCGGTTGTAATTGATAGAAGGGAGATCAACATAATCGATCCATAAACTTTGATTCAATCTCGAGATACATAGGACGAGTGGAGCGCTTGAGATTTCAAACGGGCCAATCTATTACAATAGTCTTTAAAATCGCGAAACCCGGGTACGGGCAGCAATTGAATTTGTTCATATGTGTACCCGATGCGCGACCTCAACGAGAATTTACGCTCGCGCAGGTCCTCCGGAGGTGTAGGATACGTTATTATTTGAGTGTCTTGAGCAGGCGATTGCATAAACCCAATCCGGTCTCTGTTCTCGCCAATTTAACATCAAAAGAGTTTGGCTACGGCAAGCCGTTTACTGAATTTTGATCCTGTCTAGATATGCAACGTTTATGACTGAGAACTAAACCTTCGCGAATAACCAACTACAATGTAGCACATTACCACTAGTACTTGATGCTGTGACTGCTTGACTCCCAGGTTCCTCGCCAAAGTGGCAACAAGCGACGGACGAGGTCTCGAGGACCGGTAACAGCAAACAATGGAGAAAATGGATGTATTATTCCAATTGGAACAGAGCAAGAGGCGAGTGGCGGGGACAAGTTCTTGGGTAATCTAAGTCTTAACATTCAGGAATCATGTGAAGATTCCGCCGATGTCGGGGCACTGAAAAAGACACTTGAAGATTAGTGAACCTATAACAGAGGCCAAGGGATACAGATCTTTGATACCATGTGGAGTGCGAACTCCATGTACTCGAGTCACTGCTTCTGTTGTATCTTTTTTCCCCTTCTACAGGAAAATATAAATCTATGAACTTGCTTGCTGGTTATCAAGCTTTTGCTGTAATTCGCAAAATGCAAACTTCAATTCAAGCTCTTCTATCACATTTGTGGCCTGTTGGCGCAAAATCGCTATGCTTCGGCAATCGAAGCATTTGGGCCCTAATCACAGGATGATAAAATCTATACTACACTGCAGGAAGGTAGATATGCAATTCCAGATGCCCCGCTATGTACATGACAAAGATAAGTTGAACAAAAGGCTTTATAACAAGCTAAAGAGGTAGGCCTTCATTTACCCCTCTCTGCCAGGCATGCTAAAGAGTAGAGCAGTAGGAGACTGTTTCAGAATGTCTCTCCTGAAAGCTGTTTCAGAGGAAAAAACTTGGACATCATTTACCCCCTCTGCCAGGCATGCTAAAGAGTAGAGCAGTAGGAGACTGTTTCAGAATGTCTCTCCTGAAAGCTATTTTTAGAGGAAAAAACTTGGACATCACGCATTGGTCGTTGATTTGTAGTGGAAGTCGTTAACCGTCGAGTAAACCAAACCTTCCTCTTCCAAATAACGGATAGCTTCCCTGTCACAGCCCAAACAAAAGACTCAAAGCTTAAGACAGATTAGGGGTGAGGCTGTAGGTTTGTAAAGGCATGGGTCTATGCACACACTCACTGGTGTGTGTTTGTGTGTGTGGGAGAGAGAGAGAGAGAGAGAGAGAGAGAGACCTGATCTTGTCCACTGGAAGACTCAATTGCTGAGCAATATCATTGATGTGTACACCCCTCTCCGATCTCCTGTCAGGTGAAGAAATCATGTCATTGAGGAGGCACCATGCATAATGAAAAAAAAAACAAAAAACTAGAAGCGCTGAGAAGCATCCACCTTGATAGGCAAATTGATTACTGACACAAACATTGCATACAAGAGTTAAGGCAAAAGATTAGTCCAGAGGAGAACTAGACAATTTTCCACAAGGCTAATTGCAAAATTTGATTCATTTTATCAAGTCTTCATCTTCTTCCCAATGTCATCTAGAAATTTGACACAACTTCCAAGGGCTTCTACAGCGATCATAAAGGGAATAAGACCACCCGCAAAACCAAAGCAGCCGTTTCGGGTGTATACTAGTTTGAGTGCCCGTGCAATGCGCAAGCACTCTTGTTTTATCCATGAGCCCTTTCCCCTTTCTAACCAAGTTTGGACCTAATGTTGAATGCCAAGGATATGGGGAGAAATTATCACTTTTATCGCCTCTTAAGGCCATTGATCTTTTTTATTTGAAAAAGAAAGACAATTGATCTTAGATTTTAATATAACAAAAGTGTTGTCCACTACAAGTTGATTTTGTTTTCAATTTCACGAACACTTTATAACCTTAATGATCACTTGGACACTGCAAAATTTTGGTATAATATATTACATGATAGGTAGTGCATATTTTTTTGCTGAACATGTTATCTTCAAAACAGAGACATGTATATCACATTTAACATTTCTTAATACAATCCACAGGTGTGGAACTATAAGTCCAAAATAGTCAGCCCTACGAGGATTGAAATTCAAATGGGAATTGCAGCAAATCACAACTCAGGTAGAATACACTCCTCGAAGAATCACATCTCCTAACCATCAAGCTGAAGAGAAGAATTGCATCACACAAGTTAAAAGAAAGACTAGCTAAAATTCAAAAAAATTCATTCACTTGGTGTTCATTGCGTTCTTCACGTGAAGATCTCATTCAGAGACTATACTAAGATCTACACAAAGTTGAAATGGGCACATGAATCCTACTTAAAAATAGGAAACACACTGTAAAAATTGAAGCTCGGTAGAAACCTAATAGTACTGAAGTCTTAATAGATAGAAGAATCCTAATCCTTTAAGCATTCTCATTTAGGTTGTGGATTCATGTAATGGTCCATCTTCACCAAAACTAGGTAATAGCATTAGTTTTTGGCCACAACCACATTTAATTTTGTGGGAAGTCTCCAAACACGGTATGCATAACGACTCTTAAGATCTCACACAAGCAACTGAAGAATCTTTAACTAAGCAATTCAATAAAGGTTATATTTCCAAAAAAACTTGAAAACTAAGTGATCAGCGAGTAACTTTTGAACATGAAATTCAGCTCTGCTTCCGTGATATATTCAAACACATAGAAATACATATACAGCAAACAAGATCCGATCCCTTTATTGCCATGAGTCCTTCCTTCCACAATTGACTTTTGGCACACACTTATGCCATTTTACTTTCGTTTCTGCAAAAATATTCCCCATTCCAAGTTGGGATAGAATACACCTTTTGAAGCATCAAGATCACACTTTGTGATCCATGGTGCGCCAAATCTAGCAATCTAGTTTAAAGGGTAGGTTCTGGAGGGGAAGCTCATTCAATAACAATAATGTCAGCAGATGCACTTCAACAAAGATTGATAGTGTTAAGTGGAAAAATTCTCATTCCTAAAGACCCCATTGTGGAATGAATGATTTCTCTAACCAAATCAAAACCCCTATCAGGATTGCTTTTTCACAGAATCATCAACAAAAGACTTTGTATAAAAATTGAGGTAGCGAAGAAAGAAATTAGAAAGCAAGATTAGTGCACAGAGAGGAGAAAGAAAGGGGGTGGGGGACAAGTAAACCAAGGTGACAACCAGTGACTCACAGGTTTTCAGACCGATGAAAGCAATCCAAAACCACTTGGACATTCTGACTAAATCCATCAAGGCTATGCTGGCCAGGTAACTGGACAAGAAAATACGTTTAAGATATGATTACTATGTGAAACTACTAGCACAATTCAATCTGATAGGCTCATGCCTGATTTGGTGGGGGTGCTGGATGTGGCTTCATGGAGTTGCTCATAATTGGATTTGTCATCTGAGGCTGCACGCCGGCCCCAACTTGAGATTTCTACAAGCAAAATTACAAAGTGACAATAAGGGAAAAAAATTGATAACACGTGAGAACTATCCTCATACTCATTTCACATTGTAGACATAATCATTGTATGCTCTTTTCAGTTGAAGAAGAAATACCTGTAGCCTGGTGTTATATACATGCACATAGACACACTCGATAAAGTGACTCGCAATCTCATTATAATCAGTCACAGGCCTGAAGAACAAAAAAGATATCAAATCAGAACTCTACCATGTATCTAAGGCAGACACTCAGCAGTATTGCAACATGCCAACACATTGATCATATGGAATTTCGAAGTTTTGACCATGTTCCCATCTACTAGCATATCTGATCATGTCCACACCTAATACCTAGCTCCATTTTTTATGAACAGTAGAAGCGGTCTTATGTACAACTTTACATAGACAGAGCAAAAGGTCTATCATATAAATCTCTAGACCCCATAGTTAGCTCCCATTATAAAGTCAATTCCAAGATTTTAGACTAATGCCAAATGTCAGCTGAGAAAAATTAGCAGAGCTAGTTAACTACATGTAAATGCACTAAAACTCTTAGACAAATTGGTAGCTTCATATGTCAAGTAATGATTATCAGGTATCTAATGAGAGATAAAGACAAGTGTTTAAAGACCATAAAAGTTGTAAATCAGATAAAATATGGCCTTTCCATATCCTAATTAAACAAGAAATTAAGAAAAGTTAATCCCAATAGCTGTGAAAAATAACGCACTTATTAAAAAAAGGAAAAATTGACGGACTGTATCATTTGCTAGAGAGAGAGAGAGAGATTATCAGTACCTAATAGAGAAAACATTGAGCTGTCTTTTGCCTTGAAAGCTCTTCAAGTGTCCGTGAACCCGGACATACATGCCATCCCTGTTTTTCAAGTAAAGCCGCCAAGGAAAGAAATGTCACACAAATGGTAAAATCACGTGGAACACTTATTGATACATCACAGAAAATTTTCCAACATCTTAAAGTTCAGCAAGTTGCAATTTATGGAAAATATTGCAGCAGAATCATGCCGTGACCATATCTACAGGAACCAATCATTGCATGCTAGATGAAATTGGCTTCCAAAGAGAAAGCAGTGTAAAGTAAGCAGCCTTTCTGATAGGCTCTAGCTCTGTAAAACTCTCCAGTAACACTGCGAATGAGAATCATCCAATCAAAATCTAAGACATAGGGAAGACAATATTTTCTGGGTACCAAGTTGAAAGAAAGCCTCATCCTTAATATATAAGTAGTGGCATACTCATACTTTTGCACACACAAACTTTCAATTATTCATGTAGCTCTATATTTATAAAGGATTAACCAATAAATTTTTAAAAAATAGAAACAGAGATATGTTTTTTTTTTTTTTTGGTAAGGTAAGAAGTATATTGACTTTTCGAAGCGCAACTTACAAGGGTGGGAGTCGTAACACAAAAACCTCGTACCTAGGGGAACAAACAATACGATGTCCCGACAGGTGCAAAGGTGTTACGACAAAATAAAGCACTAAAGAGCACATCAGAAGAAGGCCATTTACATTCGGAGACATCCGATAAAATTGAAACAGAGATATGTTTAGTTCTAATATTTGCAAAATTCAAACTCAAAATTATCTGCAGTATTGCTACTTTTAATCTCATATGGGAATAAATTGATTAATCTGAAATGCCAATATTCCATCCATGCTAATTTTTTTAAAATCCTCTACAAACACTACCTAGCAGAATTCCACTCTGCTTTTATTAACCCTTGACGACATAAACAAAGTGCAACTCACATGTACATGTGATTAGAATTACATTGATCTGATAGACTACCACCTACAATGAGATAGTTATCTATTCAATTGCCAAAGTGAGAAAACCATGGGATGGGGAAAAGAATATGAAGAATATTATATATCTAACATCTATTTAAGAATCACAAAACATCACAAGAAATCTCACAGGATTCCTTCCATCTCATTGGTGTCTAAAGGTTCATTGATCCTGCAAAAAGAAAACACGAAGATAAGAACTAGAGGATTAGTACTGAGTAACATCAATGCTCATATGGAAGTCAAACTATAGAATGGGGAAAACAAAATTATTTATTGTCACCATCTATTACAGTCAATCCGCCCTGTCCCGTCGTCAAGGGAAAAGGTAACGTCAGTAACTCTTTCAGCTTTATTGTAAACGATACCCAACAGAGTCACCTAATCAAGGTTCACAAAATAAGAAATTGTCTAAACAATCTTCTTAGAAAAAGTAAATAGAGAGGGAAAAAGCAGAAAACTCGAGGAGCGCTGCCTACATTAGTCGCGTCAACACCATCAATAAGGACATTGATTTTTTCGTCATGTGATACCAAGGCATTGTTTATCTGCTTCACCGTCACAGGAAGCAAAGACTGGGTGTCACGACTCTGCAGAACAAAACGCAAGCATCAAACTTGCCTGCTCGAATATTTTGCACATGCAAATACAATTTTAATATCGAAACAATCGCCTTAGATACAATCTGAACTCCTTCAAAACTCAGCATCCAACCACTTAAGTGATGGAAGTACAAACTTGCCCAAGAAATAAGCTAACTTCCACCCAAAAATGGAGGCACACAGAGATGAGCCACTAGCAAGATTAGTGAACTACAGAGTTACATGAGCCCCGACCATATCCATCATCTACCAACCCCTTCATATTACACTAGATTCCTCTCTGTGCTGTTCGACAAGGGCAAATTCTTAGTTCCGAACAGAAAATTATGAACGTTTGCGGTTGGCAATGGAATTGCACAACAGCATCAGATTTTTCGGTTCTTCGAAACCCTAACTCTCCGTCCCATCCGCACCGCGGCTCATAAGGAAGCGATTCCGGGAGCACGACAGCACAACCTCAAGGAATCGAATCACGAGAGAGCTAGGCCAAACAGTCATTCATTCTCCCAAACTGCCTAATCGCGCCGCAATCTCTCGCCAAATCCAGAACACGGCCGCTCGAGCCGGACGATCCGTCGACGAGCTCAAGCGGTACAGAAGAAGCGCGACACAGAAGAAAGAGCGCGAAGAGCGCGCCGGTGCTACTTACTTTGGCGGGAGAGACGGAAGAGAAATCGGCGGGGAACTGGGCGGTGGACTGGGAGGGCATGAAGCCGCCGCCGGAGAAGGCGGCGGCGCCGTCGAACTGGCTTCCGAACATGGCCATCGCCTCCGGATGCCGGCGGCTTCCGAAGCCCTAGGTGTAGGAGGGGATCGAGTGCGCGAGAGAGCTACAGCGACTGAGGTGTCGATTCCGTCGATCTATTTTCCTTCCATTTCCATTTAAAAGGGTCGTGATTTTCCCGCCAGCGTATCCGGTTTTCCCCTACATTTTCTTTCTTGTTTTCCGGGAAAAGAAAATGCCGGAAAGAATCATTATCTTCTTGGCCGAATTCCCTTAACAAAACAAAAAACCCCTCAACTTATGCATCTTTTTTCAATCAAGTCCTTGAATGCGTAAACTCTTTCAAAAAGTATAATCAAGTCCTAAAATTTATTACGAAAGTACAATCGAGTCTTAAAATTTTCAAAAAAATACAATCAACAGAAGGAATTTATTAGACCAATTTGACAAAATTTAAAACTTGATTGTACTTTTTGAAAATTTTAGAACTCAATTACACTTTTGTGACAAGTTTTAGGACTTAATTGCACTTTTTGAAAGTTTTAGGACTCAATTGCACTTTCATGACAAGTTTTAGGATTTCTAATGTATTTATCCAAAAAAAAAAAAACATTTTGCCATTGTGAATCATTGGCCAATGCATAGGATTAAAATCTCAAGGATGATATACACAATTTGACCTTGAGCAATGTGAATTTTCAACAAGAACATTGCACTCGAGTTTTCCATACCAAAATTCTTGTCGACTACGACGAGCACATCATCTAGATTTGGACACAGAGTGACTCAATTAGAAAATCTACTCAAGGCTATGGATTTGAGCAGACGAGTTAAAAGTTTAAGAACTTGATTGGAAAAGTGCAAATTCAAAGACCAAAAATAAAATTTTACCTAACAACGATACCAACATAATATTTAAGTTAAGGGCAAAAGCCAACAAAAACCATAAATTATGCCCACTCCGAAATACTTGTCGTAAATTGTTTTATATGACACTGAAAATCTCAAACTTGTACCTAAGTAACACGTTTACCTTCCGTTAAAATTCTGTCAATGGAAATCGTTAAAATCTACCTACATAGATACTAGAAAGTAAATATTCTTAACATGGCACCCATGGGGTTTAAGTAAAATAAAAATGACGTTGTTTTAGCAGAAAACTCACCTAACGGAACCTTGACGGAGGGTAAATATGTCACATAAGTACAAATTTAGGGTTATTCATGTCACAAGAAAAGATTTAGGATAAATTGTGTCACAATGAACATAATTTGGAGTTTTTTTGTGGCTTTTTCCATTAATTTGATAAATTATCTACAACCATAATGGATGTATCGCCTTTCAAAACTTGTCCCTATGAATTTTGCAGAATTTTTCTATAATTGTCAAAAGGGGGCTTTAAGAGGATATGACTATCAGTCGAATTCCAAGATAGGTTGAATGACAAATGAAGCATCGGGTTATGTATTTTTGGCCATGTTCCTATCAATAGGCAATTGAAGGTCATTTACTTAAAGGGTGCATTTCGGAATGGCTTTTCCAAGGGGACTTGGGCCTTTTAATCCCCATGGGAAAAAGTTGGGTGTTTGGCAAAATTTTTCGCACCCTCTTTTTCAAAATGTTAGCTTTGGGAAAGCTGAAAGTCGAAAGCAGGTCCCCCCTTCATAAGAACTCGTCTTCTTCTTCAAGTTGGAGATGCGGAGGCGTCAATGGTCTGCGAGATTGTCCCCGGTGAACCTCCGCCGGATGGTTTGCGAGATGGTTGCTGGTGAAGCTCCGACATTGCAAGTCCCTAATATCAAATGACCCTAGAATCACCCCAGCATTGCAGACCGAATTCATGGTATTGCCTTGCCAAGGTTGCATGACCTCAGGGGTTGCCTCACCTAGAGTCACACAACCCAGGCGCTACGATGCCCAAGTTCGCGCTACCCAGGGTTGGTGACACCGACGTCACGCGACCCTGGCACTGCGATGATGGTGTCGAGCAATCCCAAGGGTCACCTTGCCCAAGTTTGCGCAACTCAGGGGCGGTGACGCAGGCGTCGCGTAACCCCGGCAAGGTGATTCTGAGCGAGGTGACCCCGAGGGTCGCACAACCCATGCACAACTCGCTTGAGCTTCGCTCAGCTTCAGTTGACTAGATCTACTGCGACAACATCTACTCTGACAAGGATCGCCGGTTGTCGCTCGCCTAGCCGACGGTTGCCGTTGATGCTCAACTGTGGTCACCGCCGCCGAAGCTCGCCCAGCCCTTGCCCTCTCTGCAAAATCTCGCTGATGTCTGCCTCTGTTTTTCTTTTTTTCTTTTTCTTTTTTTACCTTCAAAGTTGCTTTATAAAAATATACAACAAAATGAGTTATCCAAACACATCTTGCTTTCACCAAATACACATTTGTTCAAAGATCCTTGGGGAATTGGCTTTGCATTCCCCCAAAGCATTCCCAAACGCAGCTTTATGTTACACCAAAAGCATTAGTCATCCCTATATATATATATAAGAAAGCCTGATAATGCATCTTCCTGTGTGATAACATAGAAGCCCTTTGCCCTATGGCTAGTCCAAACGAACTTAAAACTATTTAGTTTGATCCATCCATCCTAAGTCTTGTCCATCTTTTGTTTTCTCTATTTGATTTATTTTATCCGTTCTCTTCTACAGGTGATAGCATAGTATTCTCATGCCTTACATATAAAGAAGCAGTAGAAATAAAGAGAGGAGTTAAAGTTATGGAAGTTCAAGATATCCTATTGTTGAGGAAGTTTCTCCTGAGGTCCCTTAGCCTTGAGGAAGTAACACCAAAAGCAAGATGAAATAGAGAGGGCGTGGGAGGAGGAGTGGACAATTTTAATAGAGCCGGATGCTAGGTGACAGACAGGTGAAAAAGAGCAAGTCCCTTATTGGAGAGTCATCTCAGTGGTTCGCTATCGATGTTGATAGGATTGCTCAACTCGAGACATTCAAAAGTCAAGAAAGATCTCTTCCATTAATGAGTTGATGGGTATTTATATGGATCGGATTAAAGTTATTATTTAGTCAATAAAAGGTATGACACATGGCCTGATCATGCTCATATGTTAATACAAAAATTATTAATGAGATCTTAGCACGCAATCGTTGGAGAGAATTCTACACAATTTTTTTTGTAGCATTTATAGATCTTCCAATCATGGTATGTGTTGTAGTATCAACGAATGCAGAAGCTAACCTAGATCTTGCAAATTAAGTCAATATGAAAATCGTCAGAGAAATAAACTAGAAACGATAAAGGATACCCAAGATTTACGTGATTTGGTCCGACGTATCGGTACCTACATCCATGGGGAAAGCCAGTAAAACATAATTCATTAATAATTGGAGAATCCAAATTATAATAGCTCACTCACACGCTCAATTGTTTTCCACACCTAAATTAAATCCAAATCTCAAGTGTTTAAAAATAAACAACTCAAATGGATATAATACTCGCATCACAAATCAAGCACCTGTGTTCATGTTCGTACGGCTTCCTTCTTCATTTTGTGCGGCTCTAATGCATGGCCGAAGAAACAAGAGCCCATACTCCTTCACTGTTTGGCCACTACGCACTACATGAAGAGTTAATGTTCAGCCACTCAAGAGGGGAGAGAGAGAGAGAGAAATTCTCTTGCGGCTGACTTCTCAAGACTAAGGGCCCGTTTGGTACCGTGCCAAATAGTAAAAATTTCTGTTTTTTTGTTCCCAGAAATAGTTTGGGAACAGAAATGCGTTTGGTAAACTTTTTATTTCTGGGCACATTTTTGCAAAAATTTGTGCCGAGAAACAGTTTTGGAAGAGAAACAGTTGTTTCTTGTTTCTCGGTACAATTTTGAGAATCAGTTTTTTTTTCTTCTTTTTCTTTTTTTTCTTTTCTTATTTTTGTCTTTGTTCTTCCACAGGTTTGGCCGGGACCTGGCGGCAAGCATGCGGCCGGCGATCGGCTCACGGCCCGGGCCGGCGAGGGCGTCACGGCCCTCGCCGCCGCCGGCGGAGGCGAGGGTCCGCCCTCGCCCTCGCCTTCGCCGGCCCTGGGCTGTGGCCGGTTGCCGACCGCCGGTCGCCGGCGACCGGTCATGGCCAAAGAAGAAAATGGGTAAAAAGAAAAAAAAATTAAACAATTCAAAATATTATTAAAATATTATTTGGGAACAGAAATTTTGTGTAGTTACCAAACGCATTTCTGTTCTGTTCTACTCTAGGAATAGAAATTTTGGACAGTTTATCAAACGCCTTAAAATACTCATAAATTGTTTCCGGGCACAGAATGGTATTCATGCGCACCCTAAGACAACCTAGGCTTTCCTTCTCTTTTTGTGGTTTGTGCTGCTGCACTCATGGGAAGATGACAACCGAGGGCTAGGGCTAGGGTTAGAACCAAAAAGAAAATCTATTTTATTTTATCATTTGTTTTTCTTTTCTGCTTGGCCCCACTTACTCATTTGTACGCTCATATGTGTGAGACAAATGAGTCCACTTATTTGACCATGCAATAAATATAACAAGTGAGCGTGCCCCTCTCTTTTGTCTTTTAGTGTATGAGTTCGGATTCCATAAACGGCTCAAACTTGTGACATAATTCAACAATTCTCCACCTTAACTCGATATTTGTAGCCAAGTCATAGTGTTCATCATCCATACTGCTCTCCCAACGTCACGATAGACGCTCACTCTCTACAAATGCCAATTAAGCTCAAGCAAAGCTTTGCCAAAGGAACAAACTTTGTCAACATGTTTGTCTGGCTCTCCACTGTAGCAATCTTTCTCGCAACAACTTTACCCTTAGCCAAAACATCACTGATGAAATGGTACCTGATGTCGATATGCTTCGTTTGCTCATGATAAATCAGATTATATGCCAAATGTACTGCACCTTGATTGTCACAATTTATATGAACACTTTTCTGATCTAATCCAAAGTCCGAGAACAAACCTCATAATCATATCGCCTCATTCGCTATAAAGGTCAATGTCATGTACTCTACCTCAATCGAAGACAAGGCAACGTGGTCTTGTAAGGATGCTTTTCAACTAACTACACTATCTGCAAGCATAAACATGTATCCGGCTAAAGACCTGCACTCATCCAAGCCACCAGTGTGATCCGAATCTACA